GGTCGGATTCGAACCCTGGGCCCCATAGCTAACTAGATTAATGGAGATTAGCAAACTATTTAGCTAACCTTTGATGTTTGGCTAACAATAGCTAACTTAAAATGGGACTATTTGTTGTTTTTATCTTTTAATCTTCAAAATGTGGTTGTCTTTTTAACATAAACGAGCCAGGCACATAGCGTATCTAATTAATTAATTATGAAATTACAGATTATTTGTGCCTGAAGAACAAATAAAATTCAATCTAATGCCTCCCGCACCAGCCGCAACCATCAATGATTTCTTTTCCCCCACTGAACCTCCCTCTGTTCTCCTCAAGGTCTGCACCGTCGCAGTTGTTCTGGAATGACGATGACCTGAATTGTACTGTTGGGTTACCGTGGGTAATGTGTGCGAACTGCTGAACTGATTAGTCTATTAAAAGCTTTACAGGGACAGATCCAGGTTCAGGTACCTTGCTGTCTATTTTGTAGCAGTTGTCCTGGGCGCTCATCTTGATGAACTTTCCATCGATTCCCTGGAAGACGTAGAGGATGTCCCGCACCAGCGCCGCCTCGCTCACCTCCCCTGCACCGACAGAGGACAAGAGGACAGTGAATTAAAGTGTACATTCGGAGTTTGAGATGAAAACATCCCAGTCACCATGAAAGTTCAGACTATGATACCGTTTCTGCTATTTGTTTTATTTTTTTAACGTGATGACGTCAGTCTGTAACCTGTATACAGGCATGAAGATGTTTCTGGGTTCACACACGTCACTCACCGTCTCGGCGAGGACGGACCACTCTGGTAGAGGGAACTGGAGGTCCGAGGAGTGGTCGAGTGGCGGGCAGGGCCAGAGCGGAGGAAGGGGAGCAGCTTACAGGAAGAGTCCAGGCCAGTCGAGAGCCCAGAGGCTGACCGCCTCCCGCTGCAGACTGAGGGGGTTGACTGAAACACACACACAGATTAAACGTTGCTCTGAGGATCAAATATGTATCTTATGATTGTATCTGTATGGATACTGTCTGATTACTAGTTGGTGTTGATATTAAATATATTTACATTTACAGGTCTTCTGTTGGACGATGCACACAGAACAGCACATAAACTTATAAAAAGAAAACATGCCGAAACACATCTTTGCATTTTGCACCACTGTGTCTTTCTGAGTATAAATTAGAACTCAATGCCAGGAGACCTTTTTTATGTTTGGAGTGAGGATTTGCCCTTTTCACGACTCAAAGGTGAGACCAGACAGCTCAATGGTCATTTGTATCCGAAGGACTCCTGAATTATTAACGAGGATAAATGGGATTAAATGGCCTTCTGATGCCTCGTAAAAAAACAGATTTAGAGGAGGTCAGGCTGAGAGGTGTGTTCATGTTCTAGTGCTAATTGATGCTCCCTTTATCTGGTCTGAGTGTTTTTACAGGATGAGCATCAGATAAATAACCCTCTCCTCCCCAAGGCCCGAAGCTGCTTAAACACAGCTGACCGGTGTGACTAAGTTAAGAAGATGTAAGTGGGTTCTCTAATATTGATGACGAAATAATTATTGTATATGGACTACATTAGGAAGGGTTTATGGTGCTGTTGTATTCTGCTACATTATATTGTACAATACAACATTACAGGTTTGTTTGTGAGGGGGAGCCTCATGTAAAAATGCTCACCCGGCCAGCAGCGACTGCGGCGTCGGCGTGGGCCCGTTCAGCGTGTAGACGCCCAGGCTGGAGATGCCGCTGGTCCCCACGCTGGCCGACAGACCTGCGCTCCTCTCCCCGTAGCCCAGGGCCAGGCTCTGGGGCCGGGTGCAGTAGAATGGGGTGGAGTGGGCGTCCCTGGGGAGGGCCTGGGCAAAGAGGGCCCCATAGTTTCCGACCTGTGACGGACAAGACATGGTGAGGACGTCAACCAATCAAACTTTTTCTACAGGTTTCAACAGGTTAAAGACTTTTTAAGAACTTTTTGAGACCATAATGGACATTTTAAGGATTCGGAATATTGGATTTTAGACTTTATAAGACTTTTCTAGGACTTTGCAGACTCCCTGATGTTAGTGCAGTTCGAAATGTTTAACTGTAAAAAAATCTAGATCAAATAAAAAAAAAAGATAAAATAGTTTTAAATGCTATAATATGAAAACATAGTTAAATAAAAGCTAGACTAAAAACTAGATAAAATAGATTAGAAAGACAAAATAAAAAACAAAATTCATAAAAAGGTAGTGACATCAGTATACACACTTTATTAGTGATTACTTTTTTTATTATTAATACTTAATAGAGAAAAATGTCAATTAATTATTAAATGTTAATAAAACAAATTGAAAACTATTAAAGAAAGTAAGTCTAATCAAAAAATACATTTAAAATGTAATTAGCCTTCTGATCTTAAGCCATGTAAATGGGATTGAATAAAAGAAAAAGAAACAGATTCTCAAAAGTGAACCTATGGGAGTGACTGAGACTGTGTGTGTGTGTGTGTGTGTGTGTGTGTGTGTGTGTGTCTCACCCTGCTGGATGGTTTGCGGGGGTCTTCAGAGAGGCTGAGCAGCAAGTAGAGAACAGACCAGCGATGCTTCAGAACACTCTGTCAAACAGGAAACACAACAATCAGGTAAAAATCATCACAATCCGTTCAGGACAAATGAATATACAGTGTAATATATAACAAATGTATAAATATGATCAGTACTACATTGTGTGTGCATGTTGATTTATGAGATATTGTTGCACACATAAATCCTGCATCCTGGGTTAAGTGGGGAATAGTCCCATTACGGTTCAAACACAAACACCAACCTGCGTCTGGAGCTTTCTGTGCAGCTCTGAGAACAGTGCAGCGTCTGCTTCTCTCCTCTGCTTCAGCACTGCAACAGCATCAAAACAACATCTGTCAGCTGGGAGGTCTGAACGCCGACATTATAGTCGGGAAGTTTGGAGTCATTAATAACTAATTTAACACATGAGCTGAGGTTGGAAAACTCCTATCACTCCCTGCGGGGTTCGTTACATTCACATGTTGCACTGCTTTACGACCAAAAGAAACCTTTGTCTGTTTATTTGGGTTTTGAACATGGTTTCGCTAAAACTGCAGAATAAGAAAAGAAGGAATTGATGAATTGCTGAGGAACATAAAGTCCAGCTGTGCTTAGAAAAGCAGACAGCGTGCAGACTGCACAGCTCGCTCTGTTCTGCAGCACAAAGAAACCTGTCAAACAGAAAAGACCTTTAGTGTCTGTATTCATGAGTCTTAAACTGACATATTTTAGGAGCTTTTCAGACTGCATTTCAAAGGGAAGGTGAGGGGTAATTGCTGCCTGACACAATACAGAAAACTTTTGACAGAACATAATCATGAGTGAACGCAGATGATTGAAGTTGAAATCATCTGAATATTTGATTTCAAATAAATCAGGAATCAAAATATAAATCCAGCCGACACACGCGTGTTTCGTAGCAATCACTCCATAAGCATAAAAAATACTTTTAACAAAGTTCCCATAAGTCCACCTGACAAATAAATAAAGATTCTGTACAGTAAGTGCTGCACTATTTTTGTTTTATTTTCTCCATTAAATCTCAGATCGATGTTTTCCCACTAATGGCGCTACCTTGGCTACTATTAAAGTCCACTGGGATTTCACTATTTATGGTGCAATAAAGATTTTTTACTTGTTTTGTGGAGTGACTCCAAGTTGAAAACTAAAGTGGACTCCACGTTAACCGTCTGACAGAGACGTGGCTGGTGGAGTAGGGACAATGAATGATATTACAGCAGTCCCGTAACCTACAGTATGACAGTGTTTGATGGGCACTTACATTCTTTCTTGATCTTCTCTGACACCAGGAACTCATCGCGTTCAATGGTGGGGGCGTAGTTGCTGCCAATGACTCGCACTGCATACTGAAACTGGTGGGCAACTTCAGCTGGAGAAAGAAACACCAGGTGATGAATAAAGGTCAGGACACATAAACAACACCCTGAAGTAATACACAAATGACCAACAGCTGTGATCATGAGATTCTTTCCTGTGTTTTTGCTCCATTTCCCCCCATTCATTTTAACTGTGGAACTGGTGTGAATGGGCTATTGTTTTGAAAGGGGTTGAGAATAATGGGACACTCAACTATCACTGTGGCTAACATTTCTGTCAACACTGTCAAACTGAAAATACTTTGTGTGTCTGATCGTCAAAGTGGCTGAAATGCACCAAATCATTTTCAATATGGTGTCCGCTATCTCTGATCAAACACGCTAACCCTCCTGTGAACTGTCTGCATCCAGCAGGGGCCTGCAGCTAGCGACACACTAGTGCATCCAATAACCATGCAAAACAGTGTGTTGGTCAGCATGGGAGCTAACTGGCTAGCAAGCTCATATATAGCTAAAGTGAGCCTCTATGCTTTTGGTAAAAGCAGAGCTATCAGTGTATTACAGTGACAGCTAGCGTGAAGATGTTATCGGGATGAGCAGGATCTGTCCGAGCCCATTGGCTGACAGCTGGTACCCGGACCTAGCCCCGCTACGTGCCGTTGTCCAAAACAGTTAAACTCAATTTATCTCCATTCTTACTCAATCTAATATTTAGGCAATTGCTTCTTAACTAGCAAAAGACGTTACGAAATGAATACTATGCTCTCTTCAATTCGGCGTATGCCCAAAAGAACTAGTAGCATTCATTTCAGTACAATTTCAAGGTTTTCTCCATCCCTCCGTCACAAAAACACACCGGGTTCAACCGGCGCAAGCAGTGTAAAAAAAGTTAGATTTATGTTAAAATGTGTCCTGTCAGCTGTGCAAACGACGAGCCGAATTTGACAGTAGACGATAAAAACTCAGCCGACTCCTTTACGTTATGTTTAAAATATGTATGATGAGCAAAAACTAAGCGCAACGACAAAGTGCCCATTTTTTTGAATGAGGTTAGCTTTGACATCCCCTGAATACTGGAGCAGAGCAGAGCACGTATCTGTGGTGGCGCGGAGCATGCTAACGCTAACTCATGTACCTTCGCTTTTCCCTGTGATTCTGCAGCAGAGGCTCTGGAGAAGCACATTGGGTGATTTCTGATCCAGGGTCGCCATACTGTCGTGGCTAACTGTGTGTGTGTGTGTGGCCCAATAACGGAATAAATACCACTGTACAATATGAACTAACTCCAGTCTCCTACTACGAACAACGCCATTTTGACAAGTTGAGTCAAGCCAGCAGAACGCAGGAAGAACATGACCGCCACTAGCGCCCCCTTTCCTTCAAAGTAAGAGCATACAATCTCTCTCTCAGTTTGTTAAAGCCTGAAAGGATGAATAATTAGGATGAAATACCAAACTGGATGTACTTTTAAATGACACTGACTGTATACATGAATTGATAATATAGTACAAGGTATTTGAGTCAAGGATTACAGCTAAATTATAAGACAAAGCCTATAAAGAGGAAAGAGAAAACCCATATGAAGGATTCCCCCTACTGAGGGAATCACAAATGTTTTCCTTCTAAATGATGACAATTATATCTACTAACAGGTATTATTGTCTCAAATTAATATGGACTATGGCCACATGGAGGGTGTGCCACAGATATACACAAGACAAAACTGATATAAAATATAGCCTATTTATGAACGTAAACACAACTCAAACATGTGTTCACTTGTCTTTCTCACATGGACCTCCAGTAAACCATTAGACATCACTGTGTAAGGTTTTGTGTGCTGACACACTCCTCATACACTCCTCATCTGAGAGCTATTACACAAATTAATTAATAATGAATGACACATTTGGCTCTCCATAGCTCTTACAGCACCGGTTTGAATTTGTCTCCTTGGCATGGCTGAAAATGTGAATAGAGATAGTCAACTATAATACATTAAAAATACTTGTAAAAGTGTGACGAACCCGAAATATATACAAATACTTTAAAATTTAAAAACTACAAAACCTCCAATGTAAAATAATTAAAAACTAAATAACTGAATGGTATTTCGACCCATTCTAAATTACTATAAACTGTATGTGTGCTCGTAACAATACTTCTTAAAGAAAGTTGAACCTCGCTTGAGTAAGTTTTTTATTTTGAAGGTTACAGCCGGATACAGTGGCTGTTATTGTTGTAGCTTTGACGCTGGTGTTTCAACAGAACCCGCCGAAAAGCGTCTCCAGGAAACAGAGAATGGACAAATGAATGAAAACATTTCCCTCCGGAAACAAAGCACCACGGTTTGTAGTTCTGACCCTTCTGACCTCACCGAACAGTCAACATTTACAAGCTGATAGCGGCATTACTTTTATTTTCATTCATTTAAATATCGCTTGAACGAAGAAACATGTGTAAACCGTAATAATTGGTAATAATATAATATTATTATTTGTTTCTGATATTTTTCAATAAACATTTTTCATACTGGAAAGTAGTCAGGTGGGGTAAACAGATTTTTTATTTCTATTTCAGCACTATCTGAGTGGACAGCACCAACCTGGACCCCTGCCCCACCGCACACACACACACACACCAACAACACACACACACACACACACACACAGTGTAGCCTACATTAAATGCGTTATTCTGGGTTTCAATAAAGTTTTAGTTGATGTTGTCTTTGGTACACCATCACGCCCCGAGCAAAAAAAAAAAAAAATCAATCACATCAATCAATCTCCTAATTAAACGAAACGTCCAATCAATTACACACCAAAAACACTAGAGTGCGCATGCGCTCACCTCCGGTCAGCGGCACCACCTGGCTCCTCGTGACGTAGATGAGAGAAAAGCTCCTTCTGCCGCGGCGCGAGACAAGAAGATTATTAGTACACGCGCTGAAGGGGGGGAGAGGGAGCGCGAGAGAGGTTGAGAGACTTGACACTAGTTTGTTCCCGGTGTGAGAGGAGGAGCAGCCCGCTTGTCTGTGCCTGCAGCCGCTCACACAGACACTCCTCCCGCTGCGAGTAGAGCCTGTTACAGCCTCCCGGAGGTGAGTGCAGGTTTACAGTTCCTGGGAGCAGCTTCATCGGACCGAGACTTCTGTTTTTTCTTAATTCAGGAAGAAGCGAAGGGAGTGAAAAGTCATGGACAAGAGAGGAGAACTGAAAAGAAGTTAGCGCCTGTAGTGAAACAACCTTCGGAGCAACGAGTCAGTGAGAAGAAGTAGTGTCCGGAGAGGAAAGAGGAACAGGATGGGGATGGATTTCAGCACTCTTCGGACCCTCATCAGCAGATATGTAAGTTTTTCTTTTTTTTAAAGCGCTTACGCTTCCTCCGTGTGTACACTCATTTTAATCTTATTCTGACCACTTGTTCCCTGCCCACCGAAGCTTTTTACGGTTTCCGAAGATAAAAAGAAAACGTGTGAGCGTTTGTCACTGTTGGTTTCAAATTCCGCCGAAGCAGCTACTCATCCGGATTAAGTTTCACTCGCGAAAGGCAGTGAAAAGAAGCTCATTGGGAAACTGCTCTTTTTATAGGAAGTCAGTTTTGTCTCTGAATGTGTTTATTTCCACATAAAACAATGGCCGTTTGAAGTTAACACTTCGACAGGAGCGCATAGTCGCTGAAATGAATCAAAAACCGCTGCAAATATAATGTTTTAATGAATTTGTAACTTTATAGTGGATTATTCATCTTCAGTTGTAACATACCCCGCGGAGGGCTGTACGTCTATATTAAAAAGGTAGTTTAATTAATAAAAGTGTCGTTTGGAAAGTATTTATGCTGATATAAGATCCAGTATCCAGTATTTTGCCGATAACCGAGGGTATGTTAAAACGTCCGATTTTTGAATGGGATTTGGCGCACGTAAAATGAGTCAATTATTGTTTGGCTTTGTAAAATATAATTTGAAGTACTGAGCATTTCTGTTCAAACACACCAGCGTTCAGTCATACTGATGCTTTAATAAGTGAAAGGTGGAGTCCGCTAACACTATTACCAGCTGTAGTGCAGTATTATGTAGCTGTCATGTCGGAACATGCCAAGAGATGCAGACAGACTGCAATTATCATTCATCTTGACATATTGACAAGTGGCAGACTCAAAGTCTGTGAAATCTTCAGCTTGTGCTAAGGTGAAATCAGCTTTGAGCATAGCCAGAAGCATCTTATGTGGCAGTTTTTACTTGTTTTTGCATCAGACAGAACAACTTTGAAGGATTTCTCTTGTAGAGTTCACCCATTGGTGTGCGAGTCACTCTAAATGATCTTACTCCTTCTCCCACTTGTACAAAGACTCCTGTACAAATGGAACAGTCAGTCACATGAATTATGTAATCCAGTTGTTTTCTCCCTGCTAGTCAAATCAATGGGCAGCAGTGCAGCAGCCGGCCTATATGGACCTGGGAGTTGCATTAGGCTCCACAGTAATGTGTTTGACAATAATCCACACAGAGTGAGCCCCGCTCACATGAGAGCCAGCGAGGTTTATGCCCCGGCTCCACGCTCAGCTGAGGCTTAGACGCGTCTCCCAAATGGCTGATTAAATAAAATCCCTGCTGCGTGCAGGGTGAAATGGAGCCTTATAGTGAGAAACATGCAGAGAGGAGGCAGGGACTGGTAGGATGTGGGATGCTGATGAGGTCTGCTGCTGTAATTGATCTGGATAACTGCTGTAGACAAATGGGTTAGGGTTAAATTGATTGTATTGCAGCGACAAAGACCCGGATGCGAAGAGAATGCTGATTACTTAAGATTAGGGTTAGGAACGTTCATCTGGTTGTCAATGCCGGACCTTTATGGAATATTAATCAATACTGGGAGCCAGCGCTATAATGGAAGATGCTCCCTCTGACCACATCTGTAGAATGAAACTAAGTATAAATGCAATCTTTATTTAAAAGCCTGATAGATCCATTTGCTTTACACTAAAGAATGCTCATTTGAAATATCAGTGATTTCTATCTTAAATTTAAAAAAAAGAGTGTTTTACGCCAACATCTCAAGTGCCTTTGATGCTTTTTAGGTTTTAAATGACATTATTTGTTTGGGCAGAATGTCAAAAGTAAGGGATTGTTATTAAAAAGAATTGGAGCAATTAAAAGTGCTAATTTTATTCTAGTTTTTCAGTTACGTAATTTTCACTTTGTAATAGCTTTGTGATTTAGACCTCGTCCCGAACAAAAGTGTTTCAGAGTCTCGCAAGCAGCGTAAACGTATCACGTTGGAACCAAATAATAGGGACCACAACGTCCCCTAGTATCCATGATAACATTCTTTCTCAAATGTGTATTTGTAGTTTTTAATCAGCCGTTCCGCTTTGAGCATGTTGAGATTTGTGTTTTATCAACAAATAGAATCTCGCAGCTGTGATTCACATGAAGGAAATTTTCTACGCAGTGATTTCACAATACCTGAACAATAAACAGACTAGGATCGAACTGACTGTGTTGAATTATCTTTCAGTAATTTTCAGCATTGAAAGTAATTATTTAGTTTTTTACTGAAACTATTTTTAGTGACTTTTCCTGAAACAATTAGTCGATTAATTTATTTGACAATGGCTATAATTAATCTTAATTTCCCCTTGTTCTAGCTTCTCCATTGGGAGGATTTGCTGCATTTCTCTGTCTTCTGTAAAACTAAACTGAATACATTTGGATTTTGATTGCTGAGATTGAGACCTTAGATATGAATGGAAGCATTGCTAAATGAATGTGATTATAACAATACTCTAATGGAAATATGGGTGAAATAAACACTAATGAAGTTTAGCGGAGGCCACATTGTAGCACATTGGATACCAGTCGAACCGTTGCAGGGTTACCCGGTTTTGAAAGTCTCCAGTTGCTGCCGTCTCTGATGAGGTAAAGAGGCAGGGGATGTTATGCAATGCTATCTAAGTTTTAAAGTGTAACATGTAGAGTAGTGATCTCAGTGGCTGTCGCTCCCGTCTGGCTGAATGAGAACAAAATGTAATCACAGTGACATGTAGGAGCACTGAGACCCAGTGTGCTTGTACTGTACTCTGCCGGCTCGCTTCCCTTCTTTTGTTCTTTTCTCCGGGTACTTTCATGCTCTCAAAGTTTTAAAGTGACATTTATTGTGCTAAATTATAGACTCCAGTCTTGTTTGTTTCACCGTATATACTTTTCTTTTGGTTTCTTTAATCATCATAGTCTTTTAACTGTTTATTTTCTGTTGCCTTTTTTTTTTTCTTTTGGCCTTGTCCGTTCTTTATTTGGGGTTTTTAAAATAATTTCTCCTCTTTCATTTTTATGTTTTTCCGTTAAAAGAAAGCGCCCTATAGAAGGTGGATCATTTTGGTCTCTTAGTTCTTCAGGACATTCATTCCAATAGAACTTTTTTTATTAATATTATAAGCCTCATTGTCAGTGGTGGAGCCCTGGTTCCCCCTTTTTTTTTTTTTTTAAGTATATTTTTTACGCCCCCTGGTTCCCTTTATACTATAGAAAGAACGTCCAAATTTACCACATGGACACACATAGTGGTTGTTTTAAAGGTAGGGCAGCAGAAATGAGGTGCTACTAGTTTCTTGATGGTTGCCCATGTGTGGGTGACAAAGTGGTCAAACCAGTTTGTGCCTCTCATGTGTTCTCATCATTGCATGCATCAACAGTGCTAATAAGAATAGAGCTGCAGGGATTAGTAGATTCATTGATTAGTTTTAGGAAACGATGTCCAAATTCTGTGATTTCAGCTGAAATGTGGATATTTTCAGTAAACTCAATATCTTTGGGTTGTGGACGGACAAAACAAGACGTCACCTTGGGCTCGGGGAAACGGTGATCAACCATTTCCTGATTAATTGAGAATCGATAGATTAACAAATACTGAAAATAATCGCTGGTTGCGGTATGATGTTCTTAATCTGAATACATAATGCAATGCATAGTAAACAGATGCAGCACTAGTTTGCAGCTGTGAATGAAACTAACTAGAGATATCATCTCTGTGGCGAGGTGTGTGAAGAGCAGCCGGGCAGCATTCCTCCGCGGCTGACTAATCTGGATCCCAGGACAGGAAGTGCCTCCCTTTTCTCTCTCTCTCTCTCTGGCTTCCTGCCTTCCCGTAGTGGATTAAAGGGTTACTGGTGTTCACTATACCTTCAACCACTTAATCCAGTTTACAGCTATACTTTCAAATCTAAGCCAATCACTGAACTCCTGCTGCTCATATTCCACCTGCTGTATTTTTCTAAATAGTACATGTGTTTTCCTTTTAGTTTCAACACAGTAGTAAGCTGATCTGTGCATATGAGGTAAGAAAAACTGCTGGGAGTAAGAGAACAGTGGCATGTGAGCATACTGTTGTGTCTGCAGTGTTACGGTTACTTCATGCAGGCTGGGGAGTGGGGAGGTGGAATACTGTAGTAGCCAGGTGACGCAGAGGGCAGCGGATCACATGAACTCTTGGCTCCGTTTAGTTGTCAATAATTCATGAGCAGACTGGCTGACAATGTGGACTGATGTTGGTGTAGCTTTTTATGGAGTCTTCCACAGCAGGGCCGCTCAGCGTGGGGTCCAGGGATACCTGGGGGTGCTTGAGGGGATTCCACAGGGTCCCCTAGCAAAGTGAGGAACAGATAAATGTCATTAAGGTTGACTTACATTGACATTATGCCAACTTCAGACAGCACACGTGTTTTAATTACACGTGTTTAACCACTAAATACAATGTAGACTACTTTTACAAACATTGATGTGGTAAATTAAAAGTCAAATCATGACAAAAACATGCAATACCACCACACTTTATTTATCAAACTGATTTTCTTTCTTTCTTTTTGCCAATATGGGCGTAAAATAGCTCCTAAACTCAGTCATAATTGTCTTAAAGAAGTCTTAAATTGAACCAGTTGGAAGCTGCAGAGACCCTGTTACAGTAATATTCAAATATTTCTTATTTTCCTGAAGAATTACAGCAGTAATGGTAAATGTTGAATAGCTTACAATAGCATGGCCTGATGTGCATGAGTGTGTATCACAAGATACTGGATCAGGTCACTTTTCAGGACTCAGTCTGTTATTTGGAAAGCAGCTGTGTTGTGAAGCCGTATAATGGCTTTAGAAACGTGCTCATGTGTATGCCAACAGCGGCAGGTTTCCTCTCAGTCTCATGCTAATCATTTAACACCCACTCGCCCATGCTGTCCACAATCCACAAAGTGCAGCCGGGTTAACCTCTCTACCTCAAGGATTTACAGGCTCTCTCTAAGCCACTCGGCCCTGGGATTGTTTCACTGCTCGACTGTGGCGTTTAGCAGTCAAGAT